TGTGCGCTGCGTGAAGAAGAACTTCCTTTTATTTGTTTTAAACTATGCTCCCACTGGCATAGTTAATCCACTCTGTAGCGATGTAGTTTTACCAATGTACGTTTGTAGTGTAGAGCTGGCCTAAGAGACACAAGGTGGGTGAGGTGGTATCTTTTAATGCACCAACTTATGTTGGTGGAAGGGACAAGCTTTTGAGCTTCACAGAGCTCTTCGTCAGGTCTGGAGAGCGTCCAAGCTCAATGCAAGGCAGGCCAGATTGTTAAGCAGAAGGGTTCACAGGAGTTGCAGGAGACCACTTAAAATGAAGCAGGCAATTAACATCTCTGAAGTGGGAGGACGATGGAGGGCTAGTAGGCAGCAGGGTGTGTTACAAATTGTTGTAATGGCCCATAAAATCAGTGTCCCTGATTTTAGTGTCGAGCAGAATTACGAATTTAAGTACTCAGACTCATCTTTTGAAGATGTGGTGCCGGTTTCCTTTGAGGAGGAGGACTAAGCGATCAGAGAGGGAGGGGTCGCTGGGTGAAAAGGGTGTTTTTGTCTTTGATCCTTTTTCTGCCTGAATTCATTTGAGAGTGCAGCGAGTGTCCGGTTCCACCCCCATGGCTGCCGTTGGGACAGCCGGCGCACCAAACGAGGTACAGCACGTGTTGATATAGGCATGTGTAGGACCCACGGATGTAGAAAGGTGTGAGGCGGAGGGTATTGATCACCAGAGCTCTTGCACCATAGCTGGCCAACAAACTCATTGGGCTTTAGAGCCAAGTTTTAACTGCAGGAGAGGAAGGGAGCCTGTCTGTTCGCCGCCCCTAGCCCTCTGCCGTGGCCACAACCCAGGAACACTGAATAACTACATGTGGGGGGAGAGCCAAGCAAAACCAGGCTCCCGCTCCTTGAACTCAATTCACCTGATTGCCCCCCCCCCCGGGTTCCCATGGAGTTGGGGCTTAGCCCGAGCAAGCCAGCGGACACAGCCGGGCATGGACGGATGCAGCGGCAGCGCGAGCGATTCGAGGAAACCCGCCCCTGGCCTGGGAGTGCAATTCCCGCCCTGCACACCTCGAGGCTGCTCCCGCCTTTGCAGCGTCCAG